CCCGCTGTTCGGGGCCCGAGATCACTGCTAGGGCAAGCACGTCCCTCACGCGGGACTCAAGTCCACCGGGCAGACTGTCCGGCCCCGGCTTGCGGGGGCGCCGCGCGCTGCCCCGGTCCCCACGGACCCCCGCCCCCTCTTCCAAATGCCCGAGGACCGTGCACTTGTGGAGAGGTGGTCTGTGGCGGACCCAAGGACGCCGCGCCCCGCTGCTCCCCCTGGAGAACATAGGAAGAGAAAAGAGAGGGTTCCAGGAAACCCCCTTACATCCAGGCTCCTTCTGGGAGCCCTGGGGTTTATTGCCAAAGCAGGTGGGAGGCCAATCCACGGAACTGTATTTAAACCTGTCCCTACTTTTTTTGTCTCTCTGGCACACCCTGGTCCCCAAGCCCACCTCCTCCACCGCAGCTCCCAAGACACCAGACGTATCAAGTGGCTGGATTCAAAGAACCTCTCTTTTTTTTGTTGTTTGGGTGGGGCGGTTGTTTGTTTGGGGGGGTGGGGGGCGTTTTCTCCATAAAGGCAGGAGGAAAGTCTAATGCGGCCTCTTTCCCTTTACCTTGTCTTCTGTGTCTGGAGCTTCTAAAGAAACTCTGTTTGCCTCCCTCTTCTGTCACTCTAGAGCGGGCTTTGTAGGAGTGATGCTCCCAGCTCCTCCCAGCGCCACCTCCAAGGCTGGACACCATCGCTCTGCTTTTGAAGCATGATGTTCCTACTCGCTGTTGCTTTGGAGGGGTTGGGGGGGCAGGGGGTGCTTCCCAGGCCTTGAAGATGAATGCTAATCATCTCCCCACTAGGGCAGGCTTCATGACTGTGAGGGCCCGACCGCAGAAGGACCCGCTAGGGGTAATGCTCGACCACGTGGTCTGCTGCCTGTCACCCTCAAGGCATTTTTGATTCTTCATTTTGAAGTGGACTAAGCAAATTGGTAGCCAGTCGTGCGGCCTATTTCTCTACTGCCCTTACTCAAGCACACACGGGCATCCCCAAGAAAGCCATTATATAAGTCACATTTTATTTTGTTCTATTTTGTTTGTTTGTTTGTTTGTTTGTTATACCTTGACCTCAGGTCCTGGCCCAGAACAAGGCGCTGCAAGGTAGTTTTCCCTTAGAGTTCATTCCCAGGGTCAGTATTGGAGCCTTGAATGTTTCCAACAACATTGTGTTACTCACTGCTGTAGAAGGGATTTGGATTTATTCTGCCGGTATTTGATGTGAGAAGGTCTACATGGGTGTGTTGTGTTTTCCCCGCTTACTTACTTCTGAAAACTACCCTGCAATGCCTTGTTCTGGGTCAGGACCTGAGGTCAAGATATAAACAAACAAACAAAATATAACAAAATTATTTCGTTCTAATGTGCCAGATTCAACTAAGCTAGGAGAATGGTGGGAATATTCATGGTGCAATGCTCTTCTGATTCTCTAGGAAGTTTTTTTTAATGACAGAAAATGTTTCATTTTTTTTTTCAAAATTGGAATAAAATCAGTATGCCCACAGTTTCCTACTTCCAGAAAAAAAAATTCTGCTGGTCAATGTGCAAGATACTTACAAAACTAGTTTGGCTTAAGGTTCAGGAGAGCTGAAGACTTTCATGTTTGCAGATACCACTATGATGTATTAAGGCCTTCTCTGCAGGCACTATACTGGCACCAGGTATGCTGTGAAGATGGACAAGTTTCATGCCATAACATTAAAAAGGAAAACAATACATAAGATTATTTCTGACAATCATAATTACAATGAATAAAAATAATGCAGTATGACTGATGAATGCCTTAAGCCCCCTCTTTCTAGATATATCATCTAATCTCACTTTGAAATATCTGCACACTGATAATTTCCATCCAAATGTATTCCTGGTCCTCCTCTCTTAACTAAATTTTGGGCTCTCAAGTTCTAGTAGTTATTTCTAGGTTGAACGGCATCTCAAACTCAACACGGTCAAAGCAGAAATCTTTTTTATTTGAGTGACTTGTGGAGAAAGAAATTTACTTTGAAAGAAATTTAGAGATGAGAGAAGGTTTTCACTGAGTTTACATTTGAGCCAAACCTGATGATAGAAGGGAGCCAGCCTGAATAAGATCTGGGGGGATTAACACTCTAGGTATTGGGAACAGCTGGTGCAAAGAGCCTAACACAAGAAGTACTTGCCATTTTCAAGGCACAGGAAAAGCAGGGCAAATGCCTGAGATAAAGTCAGAGAGTTGGTAAAAGCCAGATGACAGAGGGTCTTGATAAACCGTGGTAAATTTTTTATTCTATTCTTAGTGCACTTGCCAATTCATTAGAAGATTTTAAACCAGAGACCTATAAGATTTAATTAACATTTTTAAAAGACAATTTTCTCACCACTGTGTATAAGATAAATGAGTCCAAGCAGATGACCAAGGCAGAGAAGATAGGGAAGAAAAAGATTTCTGCTTTGACCGTGTTGAGTTTGAGATGCCACTAGCCGTTCAACCTAGAAATAACTACTAGAACTTGAGAGCCCAGAATTTAGTAGAGAGAAGGACCAGGAATACATTTGGATGGAAATTATCAGTGTGCAGATATTTCAAAGTGAGATTAGATGATATATCTAGAAAGAGGGGGCTTAAGGCATTCATCAGTTATATGAGACGGGAACTTACATGCTCTCCTTAGGAAGAAATAAACTGTGTAAATAACTGCTTCTTATATTCTGATTTTTTTAATGGTATGAAACATTCTTATAGAATATTAGAAACAGTTAAGAAAGAAGCAGAATTAGGGGAGAGAATCCTAAAGAAGCCCTGGAGAATTAAAATTATTTTTAAGAAGCTGATAAGTTACTGAATGCAAAAGGGTGAATAAAGAAAAACAAGAAGGAAAAAAAAATCTTGAAACTAATGGAGCTCCCTAGAACAAGCACAACATTCCCGTGGTGTTCGTTATTGCAATTTCTATCATAGACATCTGAGATTTGACAGTTTGCAAACCATTATCCACTTTGCTGAATCACAAGAGAATGAGCAATAGATAATACCTGAAAGAAACCTGGTATGTACTAGTATCTCTGGTGACTTTGACATTATACCTAGAAAACTTGAAGGATTTGAGAGAATTCAGTGGTTTTAATCCTCTGGATGTTTGAACGTAGGAAGAGAAAAAAAGAGGATTTAGAAAACGAATAGCTGCTTATAAATTACTAGAGGCCTGGTGCACAAAATTCGTGCACTGGTAGGATCCCTAGGCCTGGTTGACGATCAGGGCCAATCCTTGGCTAGCCTGGCACCACCTGCTCGCCGGCCCCGCACCCCTGCTGTGGCTCCCAGTCGCCTCCCTCTTCAGGGTGACTGGTGGGGTGATCGGGGGGCTCCTGCTGTCACCCACCTTGGCTGGCCTGGGGCCTGCTGGCTGGAGGCAGCTCCTGCATTGAGCATCTGCCCCCTGGAGGTCAGTGCGCATAATAGCGACCGGTCGTTCCGCCAGTCATTCTGCCATTTGATCGATTTGCATATTAGGGTTTTATTATATAGGATATTCATGAAATTGTATTTCATTTTTTGAATAATGGCTAACATTACTAAAATAATGGACTTCTGGCAGTGGCTGGGAATACCACCTTAGAAAGAAGCTTCAAGGTTCAATTCCCTAATTAAGACTCTGCAAATGATTTGGGTATGCAAAAGTATATGGAAGTACTTAAAGCAACTTAAAAAGATGAATGATAATCTCGTTGGATGATCTTCAAAAGAGGGTTGGATGTTGAAATAATTTTAGAAATAAATGCCTAAACTTTACTTTTCTTGTATGTCTTATAAATTAGCATTTATAGACACTGAGAAGTTTTTTACAAAATATTTTTTTTCATTTAACACTACTTTCCAGACATTTTTTACCTCAAAACCCCACTCATTTTGTTGTTGTTGTTTTTTGTCATATAGCCTTCTTAAACTATCACATAGCTAATGTTCCACAGAACACATTTTGTGAATGGTGTACTATATGACAAATGTCGAAGAATTTAGGTTAAAGTTGAAGGTAAAGAAAATTGCTCAGAAAATTAAAAACAGATACATTGAAGAAAAGCATGAATGCATAACAGGTGCATGATATTGGGAGTGTCCAGTAATTCACAATTAATAATCAGAAGATTCAGAATAGCTTCATTTGAATGGGAGTCAGCATAGAAGCACTATATGCTTTGTCCAGATGAGATGAACAGCAGAGAAAAGAGTGAATAGAAAACATATGCAATCTATGACTGCAAGGATCATATCCCTTGGTAGAACCATTTCACAGCCTGACAAACTGAGGACCAGAGAAATTATATACCAATGTGGAATCAGAAATTTGAAGAAGAAAGTGTGATCGGTCCCTGGATGTACTCCTTTTTTATATGATTAAGCACTGGAAGTTGTAAGCATGACAATAAAAATAATTGATGAATGGATGATAGATGATTTGTGCATATGATAAACATTTGATGTTGTTGTT